GAGGAATCGACCGGGAAGATAGGGACTCATTGACGATGGATGTCATCATATTGGTTAGGGAAGCTGCCCCGAATTTCAGAAGTGCCGGAGGAAGAACATCAGGGCCTGCAGCTGAGGATGCTTTGTAGGATCGAAGAAGCTTATAGATGAACTCATTGGTGAACTTCTTGGAAATACACAATTGGTTTCGTGCGGTCTTGTTGCTCATTAGGGATACCAATCCGATGAAATTCTGTACAGTGATTCTACCATCCACGTACCGCTGAGGTTTGAGTTCCCAGGCAGTTCTAGTTTGTCAGCGTTTGTCTATGAATGAACAACTAGACGACTGATTTGCGGTTTTTGTTGCTCGAAAAGTTTCACTTTTCGAAGAATTGTTGATGCCACCTATCCATTATCACTCACGCTGATTAGGTCATGTCACGGGAACACATGTGTTTCTCCAGAATGTTGGTTATAAAATAAAATCTTTGTCCCCTTCTCCCACCCTCTTATAGGTTCTTGCCAATCATTATATGCCAAATCAACTTCTCTATTCCGAATGGACTCCCGTCCAATACACGATAAACTTCTTTACCGGTTTCCCGTCTGATCCGACCGGGACAGATATCAGTCAATTGGGTCGCGGTGCAATGAGACGTTTGTTGAACGGAACCGGTGAGTGTTCATTTGTTTTGTTATTGTTGTTGTTATTGTGAGGTGGGCGGTTCTCTACTCATGTTAAACATGCGTATCAGGCACTCGTTTATTTCTTACCAGTACTCGGAAACCGGAGAAGCAAACAACTGATCCCCTAAAACCCGAAGCTACGAATAAGATACTGACGACTTGTGATCCAAAAGCGACACGGGATCTATACACTTTAGCTCAATAGCTCTGTCTGGTTTTGCGCACTATGAGCGCGTGTGTGAGTTTCATGTCACAAGCCTGGTGCTCGGACCTCGAAACTGATGCACGAGTGTTGAACGTGTGATGAGAGTGTAAACTGATTGAGTCAAATAAAGAATGATCAATAAAAATGAATAAATTGGGTAATGATTGAGTTCTTGTAGTAATTTAAGTAATGGTAATAGGAGCACTCAATCAACACAAAACTCGAATCACGGAACACGGATCACTGATTAGCAGTCACGGACGTCACTTAAGCACTGGACCACACTGGCACTTGCACACAATATTCCACATAACCGAGACGCGAGTAAAAGGTTACAAGAGTAGTAGTTCGTGTATTAGAAGATATAAGAGCGAATAAATAATATGTACAAAACCAACTCGTTGGTCATCCGGGCCTCTGCCAATCGCGTGCTAGTATTTCTGCCGTTGTTCTGCTTCTGTTTGGGCCGCACGTTTTCTGATTGGCTGGTACAATCGACCTACGGTATGTAGTCCAGAAGCTGTAGCACGCACGTGCTTTGCTGTCGTCATCCGTGCGGCTTGATTGATCACAGTTTTCCTAAAACTGTAAAACGTGTCGCTCCAGGGTATACGTCATTCTCGCAGACTGGGATCACAGCAGTTCTGCTTTTTAAAACTTTTAATTGATACTGAGCCAGTAGTAGTAAGCCAATACCGAGTGACTAAAACGTCGGAAACTGGGATGTCATGTATTAATTTGGGTATGACCTTAGTGGCTCTGTGTTATATACGAACCTATGTGGCCCTTTGGGATTGCGTTGAAGAATGGATTTCTAATGCGCGAGGTGAAAATGCGGGATGCATCAGACAAGGCAATATAATCCGCTTCAATCACTTCTACATCAATATTAACATTGTTTGGCAATGTCATACCGAGTACAGCAATCTTTTAACGTGATTCGCCACATTATTGATATATATATATATATTGTATAGATATACATATCCATCACGGACACTTGACTCGCTTGAAGTCAACTGCATTGTTCATTTACCTGATCAAATCTCCACCGCGCAACAAGGGCGTTATATCGGTCACCTGTGGCAAAAGTACAGTCCATGTGGGTAATGGAAAATGTGGTTCAATTTCAAAAGTGAATTTGTCGTTTATATAGCAAATGAAGCGTGAACTGAAAAGCTAGGAAGCACTGGACAACTGATTCGACCTGGTGGGGTCTTGTCAGCAGTACGAATCCACCGACCTAACTGGAGATCGAACCGCGGACCTCACAGGCAGAACGCAAGCATACTACTACTCNCGGACACCGGTGGGCAGGTGATCAGACCATTTTCACTTTCCATTTGAGAGTTTGTTGCGGGTCACAGACCCTGATCATTTCAGCACTAGCCACCAGGGGGCTTATGGCTCGTTTGGAAACATTCACATCCTGACTACTTTTTTCCAGTGAATAACGGAGGATTTGATTCAATTTCAAAGGTGAATCCACCGTTCTGATGAAACCCAACCAAGTCGAAACAGCTGTTCAGTGCTTCCTAGCCTTTCAGTTCACGCTTCATTTGTTATATACACGACGAATTCAACTGTGATCGGTAAAAATTCTACCCAATTAATTTGTGTATTGTATTGACGGAGAATTGTGTGATCAATAATTAGTGAATCCCCGAAGCACAGTTGAAACAAATGATTATTTGTTTCATCGGTAATTGCAAATTACTAACAACCAAAAATTTTATATAGCGGATTTCATTGTGTATATAGCAAATGAGGCGTGAACCGAAAAGCACTACTGGACAGCTGTTTCTATCTGGTTGGGTCTCATCATCAACAGTGCGTGAATTCATCGACCCCTGACTGGGGTTCGTGAACCCGGGACCCCACAGGCAGAACGAATGTAAGCATGCTATTCAATCGGCCACCGGGCAACTGATTAGACCGTTTTGTATTTCACTTTTATATGATAAAACGCAACCAACCTTCGCAAGCTTGTCGCGGCATCACACCTCGCTCATCTCAGCACTAGTCCCCCTCGGTTGGAGACATTCCAGACCTTGCTGATTGTTACATGAGGTTTGTGTAGGACTTGCTTCACCACTCGAATCCGGGATCTCACAGATGAGGTCCCGGGGTTTTATCTCCATTCGGTTCGATAGTTTCACAAGAGTGATGAGACCAAACACTTGGAAACAGTTGTTCAGTGCCTCCTGGCTTTCCGGTTTACATTACGTTTGTTCTGTGCACAAGGTGAAATTCTCAATTTAAATGAATCAAATCCTTCACTACTACTATTTAAAAGTAAAAATGATTGAAGATTGCATTACGCATTCGGACAATCACGGGAAGAGAAAAATACAGGTAAATGGTTACTTCAAGTGAAAGTCATTCAGAAATAGGAATGATCTCAAGGGAGGGATAAGGAGATGGATGGATGGATGAGTGAATGGATGGATGGATCGGTGGCTGGATGAAATGAATAGTGTGTGTGTGTGAATGCACGAACAAGGGTTTGAGTGCTCAGAACAGGCCAACATCATTAGAGCCCCGAAGTTTAGACAACACTTTGAGCATCATTCACGATCAAAGACGTGGAGCAACTGATCAACCTGCGTTTGCAGTCTCCAATCGATCGGTTGTTCATGAAACAATTTTACGTATGTCCATAATCACAAACTGTGTCCACTGGCTAAGTCAGTTGAATTTGGTAAATGAAACTTTCAAATGGTCATCTTTCAGACTCCACGTTTACACACACACACACACAATTCTCAGTCCATCTATAGCCAACCATATTTTCGGAAGCAATGGATGAACTGAGCCTTGTGTGCGTAAAGATGAAGCCTGATAGACGGTCAGTTCAAATCAATATTAATTGTCCCACACCGTTACTCACAAGTAACTTTGAGCGAATGGAAAATTCACTGTGGAATGGTTACAAGAATTGAACAAGTAATTCATGAATTCGCGTTTGGGTTGGTTTAGTGTTTGAAGTAGGTTAGTACAGATTACGAATCCCGAATCACGGACGCAACTGAAGCACAGAATCGCATTAGTAATCACAGGCTGGGATCTCCCGTCCCGGAGACACAGGGAAAAGGCCACAGAAGTAGCAGTTCTTTCATTGAAGGAAATCAGTGGGATTAAATAATATGCAAATAGAAATATCGTTGATCAACCGAATATATCAGCCAATCACCGTTCTCATTTTTCCAGTCCTAGGGCTTCTGTTTGAACTGTCTGGCTGTTGATTGACCGATACTGTTGGCCCATTGCCCGATGTCCAGAAACTGGAACGCATTGACACTTGACTAGTGTCATCTGGGCTGGGTGATTCATCACAGGTTGTGGTCCCAAGGCTCTCGAAAACGCACGATGACGGCGCATGTTGAATTTTGACAGATAAGAAGCCTGGAGTACAGCTCCCTGTTGTGCGGTCTAACTGCAGATCAATCTCACTGCTTGTGCGTGTGTATTTGTGTGGGTGATATTGTTTGAGGGGAAACATTTGGGCAGGAAGACCCAGATAATGTGATCTAGAAAGTTTGCTTGGATTGATAGTTAACCTGCGTCCATATGGAGTCAAAGTAACATAGTATGTGTTGACAAAATGTATAAGAAACCAAGAAAACTATACAGATATTTTGCTGCACTATCCTACCGCCGGGGAACATGTATCGACACTCAATGTGCTATGCAAGAAAAAGATGCACGAAATAATCAGTTCATGTTGCGCGTGTGAGGAGGCCTGAGAGAGATGGAGAAGAAACGGATGTGTCGTCACGTGTCGTGAAAGATAATGGTCATTTTTCTCTCACACAGGACGATAGAGTTATTTTGGTCGTTTGCAAACACGTGCCTAGTTATCACCATGTTCACAAGGTGCTAGTCCCTCCACTTTCGATCACATTGCTTACACAAGTGAAGAGCCACGTCAAGAGTGCACTTTATTTATCCACTGTGGACAGAATATGCAGGGAAAACAATGTCATCATTTTTGCTTTGGCAAACGTTGTATTAAAAATTTTAAAAAAAATTTTAAAAAAAAACAAATAGATGATGATGAAAAGGACACTGACACTGCGAACGCGTAAAAAAATGAAGAAAATTTTCAGAGTGAAAATTCACATTAGACTGTGTATGAGTTCGTTTGATATTCGTTCCCTGCAAAACCATCAAACTCGAAAGGTAAGGTACAACGGAGTTGTGAAAAGCAGTGGTACGAACAAATAAAAGTTTCAATTTATTGCTGATCAGAGAAGTTGAAATGAAGCGAGACGGGGTTGAGTATTAAAGATGTGATGCATCGATAAAATAGAGTCACACAGACGATCATAGGCTTTAAGTTGTTGGTTGATAATGGAATCAACCAGCTCCTCATAAAATACAGCTTCATATCTAGAGATGCTTTTCAGAGAGCGTCTAATTAATATAAAATCCTTAAACAGTAGACCGCGAAAGATAACGGGGGAGCAGTAGGTCCAATGGCATAAAATGCACTAGAAAATAAACCTAGAAATAATGTACAATGGCACCCTCAGGTGCCGAAGGCGTGAAACATAAAAGGTCAACTTTCTGACTTTGAGAAATGTTTGTTCTACGTGATAGAACCATTTGAGGTCAGCAGACAGGAAACATCCAAGATATTTGAAGTGTTGCAATCTTTTAACTTTTAGGTTATTGATTTAGATGTTATACAGATGGGTTTTGTACACTGCTGGCAGTTCCAAATGAAATTGGGAAATCGGGACTAAATCTTGAACAATTAGTCCATTCAGTAATCAACAAATGAACCAATGGTGTATCTGTAGATTTCCAGTGGAAAATTTTCAATTTTATCAAACGCACTGTGAATCATTGTTTATGGTTTTGCAAAGCTGGAGTAAGTTCAGAAAATGCAATTCAAACGTCGGGTTTCCGCGGTTTCTGACGTTCATTGGTTTCCAGAAAATCGAGTCTTAGTTCCTTGAGAGCAGCTGTGCTTGGGAAACAACGGAACAGGCCGT